TATAAACTATGTATTTGGCATTAAAAAAAAACAGACCTAATTCCTTTTTTTCCAGTTAATCATGGTAGTCTGAATTTTTCAGTAATAACACTAATTAATGCCTAGCATCTGCATTCCCCTTTATGATTTTCAAAACACTTTTTTCATGCACATTGTCTCATTTAATCCTCATAATAGGTCAATGGGAAAAATAGTGTTATTCTGAACCTTTTTTTAACAAAGAGGAAAACCGAGACTCAGGGAGTTTGTTTAACTGGAGTCCAGACTTCCTGATTCTTTTGACTTTGCTATGCCGCCTCTCTGAAATATGCTAATACAGTCCTAACCCAGGTTCTAAATTAGAAAGAATACTTTTTTTAAAGTTGAATTTTTATCGATGTGAATCATCCTGTTTTCTTCACCCACTGGACTTTGTGTCTTTGAAGCGGATTGGGCAGCCTCGGAGGCCGAGGGTGGGGAGGCCTTGGGATGTAGCTGGCTCCTTCTATCTGCCTGCCCGGAAGTGCTCAGAGCTTTTGTTCTCTTCTTTCGTCGACAAAAAAGTAATACGTATACACGGTAACAATAAAAAAAAATTTAAATAGTGTGAAAAGGTTTAGGGGAACTAGTAAGTTTCCACACCCCTCCCCCTTGAATCTTCTGGTCCTTTTCCCAGAAGTAAATTCATTAGCAACAGTTTCTTGTGTCTCCTTCTAGAAATGTTCTCTGCACATACAAGCGTTAAGTTGTGTCCCGTTCTCTTCCTGCACAAATGAGAGGATTCTAGAAACGGACCTGCGCTCATTAACAATACGGTAGATTTTTCTGTACCAGGACATGCTGCCGACCTCATTCTTTGCAGCAGCTCCTTAGCATTGCATCGCCTGACAGACCATAATTTATTTAACCCGTCTTTTGCTGATGGTCATGCTGTTGCTTTTAGCCACAAGGCTTCACTGAACATCCTTGTACATGTATCTTTGTGCACATTTATAAGCATGTTTGGAGGATAAATTCCTAGGAGTAGAACTGGTTTTATTCTTAAGATTCCTGTCATCAAATGTTCCACAGACTTCCTTAGGAACCTGCCTCACTGCCTGGTATCCTTTCTGGAGAAGTTCTGACGTAAATCATATCTGCTAGAAAATCGAGTTTTTATTCTCAGGCTTTGGCTTTAAAGAAAATTAAACACCTTATTGGTCACTGGCTTTCGAATGTCTTGTGTTTGGAAAGCGTTACTGAGCTGCCTGTGCTCTGGCTTTATTTCTCCAGGTTGAGAAGTCTTCGCTTCTTTCCCCGCAGATTCTGCTTACAGACTGGTAGTCATTGCGATTCCTTGCATTGAGACCATCTTCAGCTTCTCCAAGGATGGGCTGATGATCTCAGTGGCTTATGATCTCAGTGGCTTCATTGCTGTGTGTTTGAAGCACATCTGGAGTGGGGTTTTGTTGCGTGAAGTGTTACCTTTTCCCGAGCAAGGAATCCGTGTCAGGGTTCTGATCACTCAGCTAAATTAGGGAATGGGCTACATAGTCGTCCCTTAACCCCACCTGACCCGGGGATGAGATTTAAAATATTAACAATCAGTGAGGGTGGGGGGCCTCGGTGAACCCCAGTGGGTGCTAGCCTTAGTGCTGAAGCCAGCTCCAGAGGCTGCTGCTGGGCCAGGCTCTAACTTGAAGGAGAGGCCAGGGTGGGTGGTGGGGCCTTGGAGGTTCCAGGTGACATCAAGTATCAAACCACAATAGAAATATTTCAGTGTTTGCACAACCAGTATATCCGCACAGGGGCACACCCACTGAATATCAGCCGAGGTTCTCTCTGGGAGGACTTTTGAGAAGAAAAGCCCATTGGTTTGCAGTGGGGAAGCCAGATTTGAGTCATATCAGGGCTTCTTACCAGCTATGAAATCTTCAATAAGACACTCAATACTTTTCATGTCTCCAAATGAAGGAGTTTGCACCATATAATATCTGTTGCCTCTTCTTGCTCTAAAATTTGAGGCAATAATACAAGCAAAACAGCAAAATACAGCAAAATACAAGGCAAAAATACAAGCAACTGTTTTCCTGGCATTCTACATTTATGTCTTAATTATGTCTTTTTTTGTTTGTTTGTTTAACCTAAGCTCTTCATGCAAAATAAGCTAAAGAAATGAATTTGGAAGAAAGGTCATTATTTGGCTTACACAGTGTGATGCACATTATAGAACTGTGAACAGTACTAGGAGGAAGGGAGACAGGTTCAAATCCTGACCTGGCCACACCTATATTCATTCATTCATCAAATATTTATGGGGTCTTTATCGAGTACTGCACACTGTTCTAGGCTCTGGGGATGAAATAGTGAGTAAGTAAGGCCCCTGCTTTAATGAGTACATTCTAGAGGCAAGCAGTAAACTTCTTTGGACCTAAGTTTTCCTACCTGTTAATTATTTAGTGGTGGATGGCACTGGTACTGTTTCTCCACATTCCACTGCCCATGACAAGACATCGCTAGTCAATTATAGCATTGCACGCAGCCATAATCAGTTATTAGACAATAGACCTATATGTTATCCTGGGATAAATAACATATCCTTTATGTTATTCAGATGAATTTTAAAGTCTTCTCCAGCTCCAAAATTCGTTCTTGTTCATTACTTCTAATTGTAATCAAAAGACAGTATCATACTGAGGGCAAACTGCCTAGGACCCCAAATTATACATGTAGTGAAGCTACAGATTTGAAAGAAAACTACCATTACTTTGGTTTTGTTGGGTACAAATAGTATGTGTTCTTGTAAAATTGTTTTAGATCTTTGGGTCTGAGCTTTTTTCTTCATAATCTATTGCGGCCAGTTCTCCCATTTAACCTGCTTTATTTTGGTCTTTGGACAGGAGAGAGCTCATTGTCATTCACTTTTAACTCTTTCCACTTGAGAAACCTCCTTTATGAAGCTTCGTTATATTGGAGTCAGGTTGGGCAGAACTGAATCCCATTTGTTTTGGCAAATGTTCCCACTGCACACTAGATCACTCAACAGCCATCACCAGCAGAAGGCTTCCTAGGGGTCTAACGTGGCCATCTGGTCTCTTCTGCTCCACTCAACAGAGTGGAAGCCAAACCAAAGTTGAGCTGATGTCAACTTCCTTGGTGAATTTTTCCTTCAGATTCCAAAGAAAACCTTTGCAGTACTTCCATTTCTCACCCCTCTCACCACCCCCATAATAGACCAGCAAGTCCAGTTGACCCAAAGTGAGCTCATATTGAAAAAACAAAGGTTTTAAGTGCTTCTGTTAAAACTGATAACTCCACTCTTTTGGATTTCCAAATGCATCTCTACCTGTAACAAAGCATGTAGATTTGTGACTACTGGGGAGAAATTGGCTTATTTAATCCTATTAAATATATACACAAGGGCCTGAGAGTCTAAAAACTGCTCTTGCGATTTCCAAATTGTTGTAAACCAGAGATACCTCTCTCTATATAATAAAACTTTTTATTTCCTTTGGGAAATGAGAGCTGCGATGTCCAGCATCCTTCAGCCTCCAAAATTTGTGCCAATATTGGTATTTGGTGAATTGCACATAAATCAACTCTTCTCTCTTCAAGAAAACCAGGAAAATAGACTGTTTCCACCATTTCATCATGAATGTCTAAACTAAGGAGCATTTTAAGCAGAAGAAAAGTATCCCCCCCTGTTTTTTTTTTTTGAGACAGAGTCTTGCTCTGTCGCCCAGTTTGGAATGCAGTGGTGCCATCTCAGCTCACGACAACCTCTGCCTTCCAGCTTCAAGCAATTCTCTTGCCTCAGCCTCCCGAGTAGCTGGGATTACAGGCACACACTCCCATGGCCTGCTAATTTTTTTTGTATTTTTAGTAGAGATAGGGTTTCACCATGTTGACCAGACTGGTCTCGAACTCCTGACCTCAAGTGATCCACCCACCTTGGCCTCCCAAAGTGCTGAAATTACAGGTGTAAGCCACCATGCCCAGCCAAGAAAAGTATTCTTATACCTAGGTTGAGTTAAGTGGATTCTCTTTTCTTTAGTTGGGGAGAATATGGAAAACCAAAAATTCATACTTAGGCTTGTTGAAAGCGGTAGGTATTAAATATAGATGAAATAACTCAGTTCTCCCTTTAAGATTTGTTATGAACATTCCTATGGTTTTTGGGTTATAGAGAAGAATTCTTTTGTGTTTGTGAAATAAAATGGAAGACTTTCCAATGTTAAGGTATCTGGTTAGTAATTTTTATGTAGGGTAGTATGTTGAATTTACTGCGAAAAGTTTGCACAGAAGAAAAAAAAACTGCAATTTTAAGAGTATGGATTCTGAAACCAAAGAGCTTGAGTTTGAATGCCAGCTCCATCTCTTATTTAACCCTCTCTGGTGCTCAGTTTTTAATCTGTTAAATGGGGATAATAAAAGAACCTATTTCATAGTTTGTTGTGAAATGAAGTGAGATTATCCCTGAATCGTGCTTAGCATATTGCCGGTGTACACTAAATATTAGTTACTATTTTGGCAACCACGCCTCTGTTTTCTCATCTGTAGACTGGGGATAATAATGAAAATTAAATGAACAAATTTATGTAGCATGTTTACAGAAATGTCAGGACCATAGTGAGAACTACGAAAGTGTTAACTTACTGGTATAACACAAATTCAGATGCTTTTCTTAGCATTCAGAGGGCAGGATGTGAAATGATTATGAACACAGAAGCCTGAGTTCAGAACCTGAATTGTGGTTCTATCACTTATTAACTTTGTGAACTTAGCCTCGGGCATTTCGTCTGCAGAATGGAACTAATAATAGAATCTACTTCTCGGAGTTGTTATGAAAAGTAATTGACATGGTCTCTGTAAAGTGCTTAGCATGGTGCTTGGCGTATATTCAACAGATGTTTGCTGGTATTTTTAGGGTATCTCACTTAAATGTTTGATTGGAGCTCAGCAGAGGCTTTCAGGATGAATGCGATTTGAGAAGGAATGTTTTTCTGGATATAATTGAAAGGGAGCCATTTTGCTGTTTGCAGATGTGGTTGCCCTGCTTGGCTTTCCTTATGCCTCCAGTGGAGAAAACACAGGCATTGTCAAGAAGTTCCCGAGGTTTCAAAACCGAGAGCTGGAGGCCACTCGACGTCAGCGGATGGATTACCCAGTGTAAGGATGGGTAGTAGAAGGGAGCTGGTTGGGAGGTGCTTGTTTTATTTGAGGACCAGGGCAGGCTAGTGGAAGAACTCCTTAGGAGGACACACCATGGTAAGGTGTTTTGCAAAAATGTTGAGATCTCCGTGGCTTAGACAGAATTGGTGGCCCTGAAAACCTCAAATGAGTCTTGAATTATCCTTACATTTAACAATCCTCAATTTGCCTTAGCCTCCTTCCATGACATGAGTAGACAGCAAGGTGTTGAAGCCTGAGGCCCTGCAAGGTCTCAGGTGCAGCCAGCCAAAGCCAGCACAGATTGCAACCTTGACTTTGCCTTTCTGTCGTGGAAGATTGGACGAGCTGTTTGAAATCTCACAACTTCTGATCTCCTCCATTGATTTCAGCAAGACCCAGATATATGTATTTTTTTTTTTCCTGCTGCTGAATCGAAGATGCTGAAAATGGTTCCTGGTTCACCTCAGACCAGATGGATTTAGCAGAGTGATTTAATTCTTCCCATGCTGCTGGCTGTAGAAAGATCTTGAGTCACTTTACCGAGCGTATGTTCTTGCTAAGCTTCCTTGTAATAACTTATCTTCATGAGCTTGCTCAGTTGGGTGGGTCAGGAGGGAGCTGTGTGGCACCATCTGTTTGCATATCATACCACTGATTTTGAGGCCAGATTATAAAGACCAGAAAGGAATTCTTTGCGTGTATCTGCAAAGAACCTGGGGCCACTGTCACTTTAACCCAAACGGTAAATTGATTACTGGGGTAAATGAAGAGAAATCAATGCATTCATTTTGACCTCGATCCATGTTTCACATACAAAATGCAATCATTCCCACTTCCTCGTCTTTGAACTACTGGTCAGCAGCACTGTGTGCGGTGTCAAGGGATGTTCAGCAAGTCTTTTCTGACTGATTGATGGATCACATATCTTGGCTAAGTGTGTCCTAGTTAAGTTGGCTACTGTTATTTTATCCTCACTTCACAAGTCACAGATGTACAATATTTTTTTTGACTAAAATAGCCCCAGTCCAGGAGTGGGATAATTAGATTAATTGTTCTGTATTGGTCAGCCAGGACCATGATACTGAATAATGTAATCTGAGCATGAAAATAGCATATATGTGTCCCTGTTATCTCGTAGTGATGCCATTTGTAGATGATTACATTTTTCTACCTTATGGCTTTTATCCGTGAAAGGAACAAAATTGCTTAAAAGGCTTTAATTATGTTTTTTCTTTTAATCATAGAAATTAAAATAGCTTCTTATCAAATCACCTCTTATTAAAATCCAGATTTTTAAAATCTATGTCTGACTTTGTAAGCCTTAATCAAGAATTCAAATAGGAGGCATGTGAGATGCTCAAAGAGGCACAGAAACAGAGTTTTTGGTGCAAGGTAGAAAGTCTGCTAGTTCTGTACAATGAAGCTTAACTCCTCTCTTTTGCAGTTACTATAACTACCTCCTTTGTTTCAAAAATCAAGCTTTGCAAGCTGATCTCCCATGATGAACGCGAAGGCAAATTCATCCCTTCATTGGAAAGAAAGCAATTTACTTGGTCATTGTTAACCATAATTACCTGTTCTTGGATGATATCAATCTGCAGAATTTTTTCCCCCCTCACTCTTACAGGTTTACTGTTTCATTGTGGCTTTATTTACTCCATTATTGCAAGGCCAACCTCTGTGGGATTCTGTACTTTGTTGACTCTAATGAGATGTACGGCACACCTTCTGTATTTCTTACGGAAGAGGGTGAGTATAAAACAGAACCTTTAAAACGATGTTGTAATTTTTTGAAGCTCTGCCTAGTGACAGATATGTCTGTCTAGAATAAGGAAGATACTGTCAACGTGACAGCCCAGCAAGAGCAATGGCTTCCAAATGTAGGCTGCAAATTTAACTGATTTTCCCGGAAGCTTAAACCCAATGTCTTATTTACAAAGAAATGCATTTATAAATGAGCATTTGGATTTTGCTTTGATTTGGGGGAGTCTTGTAGTTTCTTAGGACAGTTGTTGAAAAGGCCTAGCTACTTCATTCACTCTTAGATATTTTTTGGTCATTTTCATGTGCTCGAATTTTCCTTTTAGGCTACTTGCATATTCAGATGCATCTTGTCAAAGGGGAAGACCTTGCTGTGAAAACTAGATTCATCGTACCTTTGAAGGAGTGGTTTCGACTGGATATCTCTTTTAATGGAGGCCAGGTATCTGTATGCATGCTTCATCACACACCATACGAGCATTTTCCCTTAAAGTTAAGCATTGCCATAAAGCCGGGGAGCAACAAAATCTGCAAAAGCAAATTTGTGGTAAATGATAGACTCTTTACAACTACACACTTGCTAAATCAAACTTTTATAGATGGAAGTTTAAATCATAAGAATCCCATCCCATTTAATTAACTTTTAAAGTGCTGCTTTTGACTGTAGGGTGAATGAATAAAGCATACAGGCAACTCTATAGCCTTAGTGATCTGAGCAATTCAGTCCTTTTCTCCTGGGGAGACAGGCTTTGTGAAGATAAATGTTAAAACAATAATTGGCCATATTTATATAGTGTTATCTACAACATTTTTTTTAAGGAAATGGATTGGTTAGTTCAGCCAAGAAATGATTTGACTGCTTTTGGCAAGTGAAGCAATTGCTTATGTTTGGCATTAAACAGATCATAATAACCAACACACATAAGTGATAATTCAGGTGGGATGGAGTGTGTTTATCTACTTTTTAGTATAAAACATTGTACGTAACTGCTTCAAACTCTCATAACATGAATTTTATGGACGATGGCAAATCTCTTGTTCTAGCTGAAGACAGTTCTATTTCTCAATATACGCAGTGCCGGTTTGCCACCTTTTTCTAGTTGCTTTGTTTTCTCATCAACTTTTCCTATTGATCTGTGATTTTCCTGTAACAAAAGTGGAAGAGGCATTTTGTTTGTCTTGTGCATCTGATGATGCACAGTCTTCCCTTGTTGTTTAGGTTGATCACATTTCCTTTTTTTTCTGTAAGAGAAAAGAAATAGGTCAGTCCTTGCTGCTTTCCTGAGAAGAGTCTGTAAAATGTGAGCTGGGATTCGTGGTATGTGTGTTTGTTTACTTACAAATGTTCGGTGACATAGCGGTGGTCCACATTTTAGCTTCCTAGCTATGTGAGAATTATGGTGGTCATAATAGCCTGGTTACTGCTTTCTCCTATGGAGAAGGTCAGCTCAGTGCCGTTGTCCCTGAGACAAGTATCAAATCATCAGAGCAGATTCACAGATCTTATTTTGCACCTGCTGTATGCAAGACACTATGCTCGAGTTGCTTGTAGACTATTTAGTGGAAGTAACATTAAGGAGGTAAAGGACTGTTATAAAGTGAGCTTAATTGCCAGATGATAGCTGGTTACGGTGGCTCACGCCTGTAATCCCAGCACTTTGGGAGGCTGATGTGGGTGGGTCACCTGACGTCAGGAGATCAGCCTGGCCAACATGGTGAAATCCTGTCTCTAGTAAAAATACAAAAAGTAACTGGGCGTGGTGTGCGTGCCTATAATCCCACCTACTCGGGAGGCTGAAGCAGGAGACTTGTTTGAACCCGGGAGGTGGAGGTTGCAGTGAGCCGAGATGGCACCATTGCACTCCAGCCTGGGTAACAGAGTGAGACTCTGTCTCGATAATAATAATAATAATTTAAAAATAATTAATTGCCAGATGATTTGTATTGATTCCTAGAAGGGAGATGGCATTTTATGCTGGGATGCTTAGGGAAGGTGTCACGAGAAGATTTCTCTGTTTGGACAGGATTTAGATAGAGAAGGGAGAAGAGGGTATTTCAGCATATTATTGGAGGTTAGCAGACAAACCAGTTTGACTACAGTAGAAATTTGTAGACTATAGAAAGCTAATGGAAGGGAAAAATATGTCTTTAGGAGTAGAATGTGGAGAATCTTGGATATCAGGGAATTTAGACATCAACTTGCAAGGTACTATAGAAGATTTTTGAGCAGAAGATTAAAAGTAGTCCTTTAATGAAGGAGATAAATTTAGTGGTGGAGTACATAGTTGAGTAAAGCAGGAGAGAAAGACCAGATAAGTGGGGGCAAAAAATTTTTTTTGGTATGTGTAGACTTTAGCCCATTTGTCCTCCTTCTTTCTATTCTATCTGGTCTAATATACATAGGTCCCAAACAACACATAATACTTCCCACCCAAAATCCACCTCTGTGGTAGGACTACCATAGTCTGCCTTGACTGAATGTATAAATGACTTAAACGGTTGGTTTAGGCCAACAAGTGGCGTGAGTCATTTTCTTTTCTGTACCAACACGTTGTATGGCTGAACTGGGTTGGTTTCTGGTGGGTTAGTTTGTTTGTCTTTCATATACCAAGTGTTGTAGCCACGTCTTTGAGACGCACCCTAGCACTTACTCTGTGGTGGCACTAGCAGAGTGTAAGTGGCCCCTTGAGTCCAGAGGCTTATGTTGGAGTCCAAGATATGAGAAGAGCCCATATGAGACAGCTAACAGCATTCATGACAAAAAATAGTGTCCCTGTTAAAATGAGAATGATCATTCCAAGTGCTTAGGGAAAGGGAGGTGGGAACAGCAGTGCGTGAAGAACATACAACACCAATCTTGTTTTCCCCCCTAAGGCTCTCACGGAATCAGAGCAAGATTTTAAACACTCCTTGTAGTATCATACATATTTCCTTGTCTTTCTACACAACGAGCTTTTAAGGACAAATACATCAAATGAGCCTTTGGCTTGGAGTTTGGAAGTATCAGAAACTTGGTGGAAACTGCATTGTAGATATTTTTAACCACATCAAGTCACATTTGGGGAAGTTAAATGTATGAAATCTTAAAATATGCACAGGGCTAGTAAACTGTTAATTTTATTTTTGCAGAAACTCATCAGGTAAAAGACTCTCCAACACATATTATGAGTAATTTACACCAAGGACTGTATAGGTAATGTAGGGTGATGAGGTATAACTGATTCTTGTGTATCTCTCCCATCATAGATAGTAGTAACCACTAGCATTGGACAGGATTTGAAAAGCTACCACAATCAGACCATTAGGTAAGTGCGATTTTTCTTTTTATTCAAAATTTGCCTGCATGCGGGTTAAGGAATTTTCATACATTAGCCCTCAGCCCTCATCTTATTCCGCATCTCCTCACTCAGCTTTTCCAAGCATGGATTATTCTCTGCCCTGTAGCTAGTCTTTGTACTTGTTTTCCTACCATGCACAAACTCTTTCTGTTTCCCCCACAACTTTTTTTCCTAAGCAAGAAAAACTAGTCGTCTCTCCGGATCTCGTTGTAAATTCTTCCTTTCATGGCACTTTATAATTCTTTTTCTTTGAAAATTATCTTCTATGAAGGATTCTGAAAAATAAATCAAAGTATTAATGTTGCTTATTGAGAATGGTTGGTAACTTTGGCCTCATATAAGACATAAAAGCAGACAGTCTTCATATTTATGTTTATAATCTGGATTTGAAATGTATGCAACTATTGATATTGGTGTCACTTTTCATCTTTATATAACCATTCTCTACAAGAGTTACAGAAGCTAAGAATTGAGTTGCTTGCCTGTGTTTCATAATTTTTTAATTTACTTCTACATCCACATATAATAGTGGATTTTATAGTGTCAGAACCATGGGGCAACCTTCATTAGGAATTCTGGATACCTTGCCATAAGTAGATAATATATGTATGTAGGTGGTGCCTGACCCAATGATGATTTGATTTGCAATTTTTTGACTTTACAATGGGTTTATCAGGGTAATAAATGCATTTCATACTAATGATACTTTCAACTTACAATGAGTTTATTAGGATGTAACCCCATTGTATGTCGAAGAACATCTGAAATTGAAGGCTTAAGAGCAAGTGTAGGCCAGGGGTGTTGGCCCATGCCTGTAATCCCAGCACTTTGGGAGGCCAAGGCAGGTGGATCACTTGAGGCTACGAGTTTGAGACTAGCCTGGGCAACATGGCAGAACTCTGTCTCTACTAAAAATACAAACATTAGCTGAGCATGGTGGCACATGCCTGTAACCCCAGCTACTCGGGTGGCTGAGGCACAAGAATGGCTTGAACCCGGGAAGCAGAGGTTGCAGTGAGCCGAGATGGCGCCACTGCATTCCAGCCTGGAGACAGAGCAAGGCTCCGTCTTAAAATAAAAAATAAGCATAAAGATCAGAAATAAAAATTACCAATTTGAATATATAATTTTAAAAAATGTATCAGGACTTTTAGGCACTTTGTCTGGGATGAGGAGTGGTTTATTCCTCGAGTCTGCTATTTCACCGCAGCAGGCAGAATGCTGCCTCTCCACACAGGCTGGGGACATGCAGGGTCCCGCACAACCCAGATTCTCTTGGATTCTGATTATTAAAGAAAGCGAAGCAAAGAGCGGCAGAGACAGAAACAGAGGGCCATATATGCTACTAAAAAAAAAATAAAATAAAAAAAAAACTCCTGGCCTGGCCGGGCATTTTACAGGTGGTTCACACCTGTAATCCCAGCACTTCGGGAGGCGGAGGTGGATGAATCACATGAGGCAAGGAGTTCAAGACCAGCCTGGCCAACATAGTGAAATTCCCATCTCTACTAAAAATTTAAAAAGTAGCTGGTCATGGTGGTGTGCACCTGTAATCCCAGCTACTTAAGGCTGAGGCACGAGAATTGCTTGAACCTGAGAGGTGGAAGTTGCAGTGAGCCAAGATCCCACCACGGCACTCCAGCCTAGGTGACAGAGTGATACTCGGTCTTAACAAAAAAAAAAAAAAAGAAAAGAAAAGATAAGAAAAGAAATGCAGAATCTTGGACTTTGCTCCAGAGCTTCTAAATCAGAATCTGCATTAAAAAAACTAAAAAAAAGCAAACAAAAAACAAAACAAACAAACAAACAAAAAAAACTCTAAAAAAAATTAAAACAAAAATTCCTGTTTTCATTTAAGTCCGACTGATTTCTTTTAGGCTCTGGGCGCATAGAACAATTCTTATTTTCATGGCTGGATTAAAGGATTAGAGTTTCATAGAATGGCTAAAGAAGTGTTATTAGCCTGCAAAGAGAGGGTGCGGGTGGCTTAAGGGCTGCATTGAAACACAGCGGCTGAGGCCTAGGGAGAGAGCACGTGTCTTCAAGAGCACCGAGGTAGATTCGGATCAGTCAGAAGGCGTTCAACACATAGGAGTGTTGTTATATAACTGGTGGCTGGGGGATCTTCTCCGAAAAGTTCAAGGACAGCAAAGCCTGGGAGCTGTCTTTGGAGAAACAGATGATCTGACTCTGCTTTGGAGATCAGATCTCCATGTTCTGTGAAGTGGGCTCTGGCCAGAAATGAAAGATTTTGGTTTCAGGACATGAAGTCTAAAATAAGAGCTTCCCCTCTCTCCCTTGAAACTCACGTCCAGCTCCAGGACATTTCCAACAACTGGTTGAATTTCATAGGCCCCTTTTCGTTTCCTTTCCTTTTCAATCCTAGAGATCTAGAGGCTTATATGAGTGAATGGGAGACAGAGTGGCCACAGAATGATCCAGGACTGGGGCCGGGGTGAGGCAAGTGAGCCTAAAACTTAAGGAGGTGCCAGAAAGCTTGGGGATTGCATTCGTTTCCTGGGGCTGCCAGAACCAAGTGCCAAAACAAAGTGGCTTAAACAACAACAAGGTATTATCTCAGTTTTAGAGGGCGGAGGTCCAGGATCGTAGGGCTGGCAGGGCCGAGCTCCCTGTGAAGGTGTGAGGGACAGATGTGCTCCTGGTCTCTCCTGGCTTCTGGTAGCTCCTTGGCTCATGGCAGCATAATTTCAGTCTTCACATGGCATCCTCCCCATGGGTGTGTCTGTGTCCAAATTTCCCTTTTTTATAAAGATGTCAGTCATATCGGGTTAGGGGCTCACCCTACTCCAGTATCATCTCAATTTAACTACTTACATCTGCGATGACCCTGTTTCCAAATAAGGTCACAATCTGAGGTGCTGGAGATTTGGACTTTGACATATGAATTTGGTGGGAGGAGGGGGCACACAGTTGAACTCAACAGTAATCATGATAAATAACATATTAATACGATGTTTTTAAAAATCAAAATGAATGCAGAGAATCTCTGATGAACAAAATATTAAAATTTTGAGTAAAGACATAGAAGAATAGACATAGACATAGACATAGACATAGAAGACATAGAAGAATCAAGGGATCAAGACTGATTTGGGGGTACACACCAACTCTGTATCCCAATTGAAGCATTGAAACAATTTCTTAGTAAAACTGGCAGTACTGCGGCCTGGCACAGTGGCTCACGCCTGTAATCCCAGCACTTTGGGAGGTTGAGGCAGGCAGATCACTTAAGTCCAGGAGTTTGAGACCAGGCTGGGCAACATGGTGAAACCCCGACTCTACTAAAAATACAAAAATTAGTCGGGCGTGGTGGTGGGCGCCGGTAATCCCAGCTACTCGGGAGGCTGAGGCGAAGGTTGCAGAGAGCCAAGATTGTGCCACTGCACTCCAGCCTGGGCAACAGAGTGAGACCCTGCCACAAAACAAACAAACAAAAAACAACAAAACAAAACAAAAAAAAACAAAACAAATTAAAAAAGCTAGCAGTACTCAGACCCAGGAGTGCCCCTCCCCACTACCCCAGCTGCCCTGCCTGTACTCCTGAGACCTCCCCGTCAGAGAAATAAGCAGAGGTAAAGCTAGGCTCAGAGGGAGCTGTCCAGAGTCCCCCGAGGGTTCCTGTGGTCAAGCATTTGGAATCTCATCCCTGCCAGGAACCCCACTTTCAGAGTGGACCGAGCCAGTGAACTAAACATCAGATATTTCCAGTTTACTGGTTATAGGTGTTCCCAGGCAAGGCTCTTACCCCTCCTTTTTATTTGTTCCTGTGATGTAAACATAATGATGGTTGTCCTACAAGGATAGTGTGAGAAGATCAGGAATTAAGTGCTTGGGATGGCAGTGCAACGCATAAATGAAAGGCTGCCAATAATACTCCATGACAGGTGACAGCTTCAGGCCTCTATAGTGTTAAATTCATTCACTCATTCAACACCTGTTCACTGAACACCTGTCACATGCCAGACACAGCACTCAACTCTGGGAATAAAATGATGAACATAAAGAATACAGACCCTGCCTTCATGGAGCTAAAATATCAAGCTGGGGAGACAAAAAGAAAACAAATTCACAAATAAATTTAAATTTACAAGTTGTGGTGAGCGCTAGGAAGGAAATGGATAAGGTAGCTTGAGGAGAACAAGTGGGTCAGAATTTAGACCAGAACTGCCAGGTGTGGTGGCTCATGCCTATAATCCTAGCACTTTGGGAGGCCGAAGCAGGCAGATCACGAGGTCAAGAGATGGAGACCATCTGGCCAACATGGTGAAACCCTGTCTCTACTAAAAATACAAAAATTATCTCGGTGTGGTGGTGCACACCTGTAGTCCAGGCTACTCGGGAGGCTGAGGCAGGAGAATCGCTTGAACCCAGGAGGCACAGGTTGCAGTGAGCCGAGATTGACCACTGCACTCCAGCCTGGCAACAGAGCAAGACTCTGTCTCCAAAAAAAAAAAAAAAATTAGACCAGGCCCTGAAGAAGTGACATGTAAGATGATGTAAGATGATGGTTACTCTATGGGGCATGGGAGCAGCTAATCTGAAGCTCTAAGTTCTCCTACCACAGAAACTTCAAGCTGGAGCTATTTCCTAATTCTGAGTGAGGCCTGTTTCACTACGTCGGTGATTCTTTCAGGCTACTGGTGCTCTGCGGTAATAAACCAGGGCACTCTCCTATGTCCAGATAAGAGTAAAGATAGTTTGCCAGCATGTCTCAGGTTTTCAAAAGGGGCTGACTTGGGCTTTGGAAGAGTCTAGCTCAGCTTTTATGTCAGTGAAATTGATGACCATCAAACAGTGCACAGTGCAAGGAATCTCTTGCAATCTTTGTGCAGACACTGAGAATTCTGCAGGAGAAAAATGCGAAGACATCGATGTACATGGAGACCAAGCTGGACAGATGCCCTCCTGCTTGATAATAATGACAATTTCAAAATTATGGTTTAGTGCCCTAGGGACCAAGTAATTTGTTTTTTGTTGAAAAAGTTAATGTAAGGATCCGTTAAAACAGATAACTCCCTTAAACATTTTTTTCAATTAAAACATATATATGTATATATTCATTTACCAATCTGTCTAGATAGGGCCTTCTTTTGAGTACAAATCTAGAGATTAGAGTTTCCTGTGGGCTTTTTTCACACTTGTAAACAACACCCAATTTCTGTTTCTTCCAAATGAAAACAAAGACACTTGTGGAAATAATCAGAGCCCAAAAGCCATCTAGATTTTTCTCAATTTTTTTCAAGACATGTTACAAGTTTTTAGTAACCTCTGTTGTGTCTACCCAAAATAATCAACTTAGTTTTTATAGAAAGAACAACTTTTTTTTTTTTTTTTTTTTTTTTTTGAGACGGAGTCTCGCTCTGTCACCCAGGCTGGAGTACAGTGGCGCATCTCGGCTCACTGCAAGCTCCGCCGCTTCCCAGGTTCACACCATTCTCCTGCCTCAGCCTCCCGAGAAGCTGGGACTACAGGCACTCGCCACCACACCCGGCTAATTTTTTTGTATTTTTAGTAGAGACGGGGTTTCACCGTTTTTGCCAGGATGGTCTCGATCTCCTGATCGCGTGATCCGCCTGCCTCAGCTTCCCAAAGTGCTGGGATTAGAGGCGTGAGCCACCGTGCCTGGCCGAGAACAACTCTTTCTTCCCCACTCATATTTTATTGAATTACATATTTAAGTAAATGGTATGATTACAATAAACATACTATTGGTATTAACTGGTTTGGGCTCAAGTGATCCCCCCGCCTCGGCCTTCCAAAGTGCTGAGATTACAGGCATGAGCCACTGCACCAGGCCAACATTAACTGGTTTGAGTATACACATCTTATTCTTGTTAAGTGTGCAACTCAGAATGTGGGAGCCAAAGTCCAACAGAAGACTAGGTTAAAAATGATAATCACTGTTGCTAACGGTTATGGTGTCTGCTCTGTGCCTGACATTGTTTGAAATGCTTTGTTTACATATTAGTTTATTTCATCTTCATAACAACCAGACAGGCAGGTACTGTTGCTATTTCTGTTTTTTAAATGGGGAGACTAAGGCTCTAGACAGTAAGCTCTAGGCAGTGAGGCAGTGAGCATCCCGGATGCTGTAAACATCAGTCAGTCGGTTTTGCGTGAGGACGGTCAGGTAAGCTGGGGAGTTGGTTCAGCTGCAGCTCTGTTAAGAGGGCTTCCTACTGCAGAAGCATTGCTTTGTATCCATCGAGCGCCCTGTGCTGTCTCATGAGGGTTGTTGGAATGTTCATGTCTTTTCAAGGTCTTGGAAAACAGAATCAATTCACAACTCTAGAGATAATAACTTTATGACCTCTCCATAAATAGGCAGGAGAGACCATCATCCTCACAGTCCTATAAGACTGAGATTCTGAAAAGAATAATATCAGGAGCTGAAGCACTTCTTTTCCATTTTGGTGGCATTTAGACGAGGCTAATCTCTAGACATTGGATGTTGCTGCTGTCAGCTGTTACTGCCAGGCTGTGTGCTTTGCTTCACCATCTCACGCCTCCTCCCCGGCCAGGTGCACCTGCTAGGGCTTGGGTTCTTTGCTAACAGACAGTCCATCCCCCATTCTGAAATAACCCCGTGTTGCCTGGTTTCCCTGATCCAACCGTGGGTAGCTTGCCCTGTCCCCATCCATGTCGTCACTCCGGCCCTTCGCTCCCTCGGCTCCCTGGGCTCCTGGCGGCCTGCCTGCCACTTTGTTTTCTTTTCTTCTGCTTCCATCTGCCTCTCGTGGTTCCTGGCTCCGTCTTGTTGCCTGACCTCTAACTGGATACCTGTCTTAGCCCTCACTCCCCTCACTGTTCATGTATGCTCTGATCACACCTTGTCCTCCCATTCTTACTTTAAATTCTTATTTGTTATTTTTATTTATTTATCAATTATTATTATTATTATTTTGAGATGAGTCTCACTGTTGTCGCCCAGGCTGGAGTGCAGTGGCGCGATCTCAGCTTACTGCAACCTCCGCTCCCGGGTTCAAGTGATTCTCCTGCATTAACCCCCTGAGTAGCTGGGATTACAGGCATGCACCACCACGCCTGGCTAATTTTTATATTTTTAGTAGAGATGAGTTTCATCATGTTGGCCAGGCTGGTCTTGAACTCCTGACCTCAGGTGATCCGCCCACCTTGGCCTCCCAAAGTGCTGGGATTACAGGTGTGAGCCACCGTGTCCAGCCTTATTTTAAATTCTTAATAGGTAATAGATGCATATGGTTTTTTAAAAAAATCAAAACTTTGTAAAAATACAGTTAAATGTCTTGCTCCCAACCCTACCCTCATGCACTTCACCCCAACCCCTCGGCACCCCATGGAGAGATAATTCTATTGGTTTCCTGTATAGACTTCCACCCAGAGTTTCTTTATGCAAATATGAAAAAAGTATGCTCTGTGTCCTGTACTTTTATTTTTTTTTTATTTAACACTATATTTTGGCGATCTCTCCAGGTTCTTTTGTCCCTTTTTTAGTTGCATAGTGAAAAAGCTCAAGTCCAAGGTACACTGAATGGATGGGCCAGTCCCCACTGTCAGACACTGGGGTTCTTCTGGATGGATGGGCCAGTCCTGGCTGATAGATACGCGGGTTCTCCCATCTCTGGCGAATACAAACAATGTTGCAAGGAACACCTTCATGCGTTTTATAAATGCCAACCCACTTTGTCCTCTCTTTCCTTCCTGATATTTCAAGCCCTTCAGGACAGCGTGGTCCTCTAACTCATCACCTGTGCTCACCTCTCATCTCCGGCCAAATCCTCTGAGCTGGCTGTGGCCTCCTCCTCCTAACTGAATTTTGCCTCAGTCCTTATCTAATAGTCTATGCTTTTGGCTTTCCCCCACAGCCACCTTCTGTTCATTCAACAAGGTTTTTTATTTTCTTTTAAAGCAAAATATTTCCAGTGAAAACCAATAATTCCAGACAGACAATTCCATTGATTCCAAACAATACCACCACTATCAATAGTACATATTGAGTATTTACTGTGGGCCAAGCACTCTGCTAGATGCTTGACATCTTTATACTTCACTTAATCCTCTTAACCATCCAGTAAGTGAAGAACTATCGTTTGACACAGGAGGAGACAGCACTGGAGAGGAGGTTAAGTGACTGGGCTGAGGTCTCATAGCTGGTAAACAGCAAAATTGGGATCCTAGCCCAGGTCCCCCTGGCCCCACACTGGTCTCATCTGCTAAAACTCAGAGTGAAGGGCTTGGGGCAATTTGGGTTAAGTCAAGGAGAGTCTAGGAAAGAGACTCTTTTTAAGTCCTCTAGTTCCGGCACAGAGCTCTCTTAATCCTTCATTCTCTTCTCTAGCTTCCGGGAGGATTTCCATTATAATGACACAGCTGGGTACTTCATTATTGGAGGGAGCAGGTATGTGGCTGGCATTGAAGGGTTTTTTGGACCTCTGAAGTACTATCGCCTTCGCAGTCTGCACCCCGCCCAGGTGAGTCCCAGGGGATCAGGAAGATTGCAGTACTCCTGGGTGATGGGTATGGGCCTCAGGGTGTGCAGCCCAGTATAAATAAAAGTTTACCCAAGCCGGACCATGCATTGCCTCTGTCATCAAACATCATTAATATTGAGGCTTTTCCCCCAGCAAAGGCAATAATAGATTTCTGTTAACATTTGGTTCATTTAGTACTCATAAAATGGAAACCATTTACTTCCTCTGTTTTAATAAGTACTAGTTTAATTATAGAGTAGATTTTCATCAGGCTGTTGCCTATCCAGCGATTAAGCTAATGAAAGGAGAGAATCTTAGTTATTTGGTAAAGATTCTTTTATATGCTATTATTTAAAGTATCAGAAGAGATGCTGTCGCAAATTAAAATCTTGGTTCCATTGGCTGCTCTCTTCAGAAACACAGGCCTTCGGCTCACGCTGGGGTCTGTTGGCAGCAGTTGTATGGATCGAAAAGGGCATTGTGTTCAGGGCCGAATCCTCTGCACGGTGCCTGCCACATCCAAAACCCGCCCCTGAATGGAACTGTCCAGCGCTCTGGGCCAATGCAGCTGGACTGGTCGGGGGAGAGGGCTGTTCCCCCACGAGGGAGTCTTCAGGGCACTTGTTTTCTGGGCTTTAAGGAGATCAGGGACCACACCTGATACCTGAAAGGGAAACATTCTTTCATTCCTTTCACCCTATGGGGTTTATTCTGAGAAAAACAGGGGTCACTAGACAAAGTCATAATCAGGAAAAATGGGGAGCCCTGCTGTCCATGGTGATATCTTACAGCCTCTGTGAGAGACCTTTGTGAAAAGGGGAAAAAACGAAATAGTCATTTGTGCAAAAAATGCTTATTGAGAACCTACTGTATGCCAGGCTCTGAACTAGGTGCTGAGGCAAGCAAGATGGGTAGGTTTAAAATTCATTTGAAGGTTGTCCACAATAAGAAATCTGCTTAATATTGGCCAGGCGTGGTGGCTCACACCTGTAATCCCAGCGCTTTGGAAGGCCGAGGCAGGCAGATCACTTGAGGTCAGGAGTTTGAGACCAGCCAACATGGTGAAACCCCGTCTCTACTAAAAATACAAAAGTTAGCTGGATGTGCTCACTTGAACCCAGAAGGCGGAGGTTGCAGTGAGCCAAGATTGTGCCACTGCACTCCAGCCTGGGTGACAAGAGCAAGACTATCTCAAAAAAAAAAAAAAGAAACGTACTTAATATCATGAACAGTACGTATACATATACATACATATATTCAAACACAAAATGGAAACAAAATTATTCTAAGAATACATACTCTTGCTATAGTCAATGCATGCTGATATTTTGTGTTCTACTTTATAAAAACAAAAACCACCACCAAAACTCTGTAGGTTGCCACCCGCTGAAATAACTATGTGGCCCTCTAATGGGTCCCAGCCTCTATTTTGAAGCCCACAGAGTTAAGTCCCTTGTTCCTGAGGAGCTCCCTTTTGGGATCTTAAACAGGGAATTCATGAAAGAATACAATACATGCTTAAATTCAGATGTGTTTGGGAGTGCTGAGGCAGGAACGGGTACATTGGCCCGCAAGTGAGATGGGGTGAGTCGCTAGGGGGGCCTGTCCTGAAGCCATGGCCTTGCACCCAGCTCTTGGAGCTTGCAGAAGAGGGGAGGAGGCTCTTTGATGCAGCAGGCACATCGTGAGTACTTGCGTCTTTTCATGGGAATTGAAGGGGGAGGTGAGTGTGATTTTCTAGGGACAGAGTGCAGCCAGAGAAAAGAAGAGGGAAGAGTCCCAGTCTCTGGGAAATTCTGACATTTAAGAAGCTGGGCACAAAGAGAAGCTGGAGGGAAGCCGTCAGAGCTGGCATGTCCTTGAATTAATATCAATGACCTTGCTTTGCAAATCCAGAGTGGATGATACGTGTACAAACAGGCCACCTAGAGATGTCAGTGGGAGAACGAAGTCAACCCGAACACATCTTCCTAGAGGTGGATGGACATTTGATGACAATTGTTGTTCATTTGACTTTCTTGCCTTCTTGTAGATTTTTAATCCCCTCCTTGAGAAGCAACTTGCTGAACAAATCAAGTTATATTATGAAAGGTGTGCTGAGGTTCAAGAAATAGTATCTGTGTATGCATCCACAGCACTGCGCGGGGGCGAGAGACAAGAAGCATGTAAGTGTTGAGCTTCAGGGGAGCTGTTTTAAGCTCTGTGCATTTGCATAAACACATGTTTGGCTTCTCCATAATGGGATTAAAATTGAACATATATGACTTGGCTCGCATACCAGCCAGGACAAGTGTGACCTTGAGCCCTCCACTGGTGGATACAGGTGAAATTGTACATTCCACCTGGATTCTACCAAGACCAATGACAGTCAAGAAGAACCAAAACATCTTATAGCTCCAACCATAAAAATCTAGTTTACAAGTACAAATGAAAGCGAGTGTTTTGTGCCTTGCATGGCATTATTCCCATCCATAAGGCCAGCCTAAGAAAATAAAAATGAATTGGAAAATAAATTAATCATTAGAAATGTTTCCCCATCAGTGCACTTTTGTTTTGGGCCATTAATATCTGAATATTAGCTTTCAGAAATGTTGAACGGTGACTTTGTTGTTGGAGTTCGGTTTTATTTTTTAAATCCTTGAAATTGACTCATTCTCGAAGATACCGGTAATTTTTAACAGAAGGAATGAATTTCAAATAGACTGCTTCATGCATGCTCATATTTGCACAGACATCCTTTTACTCACACAGGGTGTTTATCAGTTACAAAACTTGGTCGTGTCTGGTCCGCCAGTGTTCCAGCTTGGATCTAGCACTTACACATTTCTCTGTGATGCGGATCTTGCTGTTTGATATGGTGGCACTAGAGTTACTCACATATGTTCCATCTGGAAGAGAAATTCCTGTGGGGCCTTTGCCATCAGCAAAAGCGAATTGAGTATTTCAGTCCTGCCCATATGCCTCTCCATCTCCAGAGCGGAACTTCTCATTCCAGGTCGTGGAGGGAAGGATGCATCTCAAACATGCCCTGGTCCAATAGGGTTCACATGAAATGGTCCCAGGTAGTGATTAGAGATGGTGACGGGTGAGTGTGGAAAGAAAGTGCTTCTGCAATTCAATTTAAGAATAGGCTATACTGGTCTCCAGCTGCTGCTCTCACTGCTGAATCATCCGGAAAATATGATGCTGTCAAGCGGAGGGGGAAGATATATAGGAATAGTAATAACCCAAAGAGGAAAGAAACTGACTTGGGTAACTTATGTACTATCAGGAGACATACCCTGAGATGGAAGGCCAGGCATGCACACCCATCTGTTTGGTGGCATTAGGGAGATTTTCCTACCATCTTCAACTGCCTTGCCTCCCTGGGGGTCTTTGTGCTTTGCTCCTCAACTCAAATGCCAAGAAAATGGCCTAGATATTGGCCTCCTGGGGACCAGTCAGAGGCCAGCTGCTCATTCTGTAGAATTATTCAACAGCCATCAGCAACTTTGGCACATTTCTCATGGACTTGGCTCTGAATTTGTGACCTGGAGGCAAAAGCATCATAGCCAGTTTCAAATCCCAAAAGGACCCAAACCAACATCCAGTAATGGCAAGTCTGGCCTCTTCTTTCTAGTTCCTCTTAGGACGAAGGGCTTTAGGGAGGTGAGTCTTATCTTCTGCTAAAGGGTGTGATGTCTTTTGCTTCCTCTTCTGTGTAGGCCACCTCCACAACTCCTACCTGGACCTCCAGCGCAAGTATGGGAGACCCTCGATGTGCAGAGCCTTCCCCTGGGAGAAGGAGCTGAAAGACAAACACCCCAGCTTGTTCCAGGCATTACTGGAGATGGATTTGCTGACCGGTAATTAAGTCTTTGCCTCGGCTTTGGGCACTGGTTAGAAAGGCTCCTTGTTTTTCTCTGTTTCACTCACCCTCTTTGGTGATTTAGGCCTTAAAGTTATTTTTAACCCTAAGGTTTTAGCTTAATTTCAAATTTAAATTCTGCCCTTGTATGTCCACAACTCTTGATATATCTGTGCACACTTCCAACACTAAATGCAAAAACTTAAATTTAGGAATTGCTCAAGCAGTTCTTTATTTAAAGCCAAGGCCACAAATGGACAGCCTGCAGCCAGAGCCAGCCCCCAGATGCAGTTGATTTGGAAAATACCTTGTTGTATATGTTAAAAAAAAAAAAGTAGTTATGTGTATCTAAAAAGCTTGTACGAAAATGCAAATTTCGGCCGGGCGCGGTGGCTCAAGCCTGTAATCCCAGCACTTTGGGAGGCCGAGACGGGCGGATCACGAGGTCAGGAGATCGAGACCATCCTGGCGAACACGGTGAAACCCCGTCTCTACTAAAAATACAAAAAAATTAGCCGGGCGAGGTGGCGGGTGCCTGTAGTCCCAGCTACTCGGGAGGCTGAGGCAGGAGAATGGCGTAAACCCGGGAGGCGGAGCTTGCAGTGAGCTGAGATCTGGCCACTGCACTCCAGCCTGGGAGATAGAGCGAGACTCCGTCTCAAAAAAAAAAAAAAAAAAAAAAAAAAGAAAATGCAAATTTCTAGCTTTTTTAAAAAAAGAAAAAACCAAAGATCTGGCAAGACTGGGCATTTCTCCTGTGTGGCAGCAATTGTGGAGGTGAGGCTCAGACCAGGCATACCTTGTCCACCCACAGCACCTCCTATTTCGTCACCTCCTGATTACTTCATTCATGGATCTGACCCATGTGAGCCCACAGGCACTTGAACTTGGGACCTCTGATTTGAAGTACACTTTCAGCATCATCTCAGGAATTTGCATAAACTTCCCAGATGCCACCAGCTTCTCTGTAGGCCCACTGCAATTTGGGTTTGCTTAGTAATTCAGTGCATCCTCCAGGGCCGTGAGGGATCTTAAAACCATGCCTGTTAGGAAGAGGAAAGGCAGCTGGAGATGTTCAGCCTGGTGAAGAGGATCCTAGCAGGGAGTTGCCAACTGTCTTAGTGGTGGGAGGCAACTCCACATAGTCCTGGGCATAGAACCAGATCTTGAGTTGGGGCGATGCAGCAAGTGACTTCTGCCTCATGTAAGATTGGTGTCTTACATTGCACCCACTGCCTAAGAATGGCAGTGTATAACAGCATAGATTTCCTTTGCAAATAGTGACCCTCCTGCAAAGAATTCAAGTCATATAGGATATTTTATCATTCATTCTTCTGATGCTTACTCAGTGACTACTCAGTACCTTGGCTAGACTTCAGAGATATGTGAAGTAACACAATGCTTCTGTCCTTGAGGAATAGACTTGAAAGCAAAGAAAAATAGTAATGCATTTTATTAAAGGTATAGAAGCTAATGGTAGAGACACAAAGAAAGGAGTGGTCAGTTCTACCTGGAGGGCTGAGGCGTTCTGGGAAGGCTTCCTGGAAGAGGAGACACTGGGACTGATTCTTGAAAGGCCAGCAGGTGTTTGCCAGATAAGAGAGTTGGGGGTGGGAATTGCAGGCAGAGCAGACCCTGAGAGGTGGTAACAGCACAGCATGTCGCATGATGGTGCCGTGACAATGGGGAGGCAGGAGAAGCCCTGCAAAGTGATTATTCCAATGAGGGCTCAGACACCATCCTGAAGTTTGGGCTTTCCCTTTTAGGTGACAGGGACCTGTTGAAGGGTTTCAAGCAAGAAGAAGAGGCATAGTGAGATCTGGGATTTTGAGGTCACAGCAGGGAGGTGAACTAGAAGGGCATGGAGCTGGAAGAAGGGAATGTATTGCCATGGTCCCTCGAGGAGAGGATGCAGGCCTGAGTGGGACATGGTGACAGGAACAGAGCTGAAGGATGTAGAGATGGGCTCTGAGGGACTCCATAGCTGCTTGAATGTGGGCACAAAGGATAAGTAGGCTGTGTCATGTTGTATAATGAGTGGAGCCAGCTGGCCTGGGACCAATTTTAACATTCACTAGCTGTGTGATTTGGGCAAATTACTTAATTTCTCTGAGCCTTAGTTTCTTCGTCTGCAAAGTGGGGATGATAATACTACCTGTCTTCTAGTGTTGGCTTCAATAAATCGATATATATATATGTATACATATATAGGTATATGTATGTATATGTGTGTGCATATGTGTATATATCATATATGATATATGTATATTACATTATATAACATATAAAATATAATATATAATAATATAATATACAAATGTTATATTATAATATATATTATATAAGTATTATCTATTATAGAATATATATTATTATATAAGTATTTTATATATATAATATACTTAGAACAGTTTCAGCACATGGTAAGCCTTACATAAGCAGGGTTTTTCAATCTCACAATATGGACATTTCGGACTGTAGAATTTTTTTTGTTGGGGACTGTCCTGTGTATTGTGGGATGTTTAGCAGCATTTCGGGACTCCACAACTAGATACACATAGCACCCTCCCCATATCCCTCCTCTCCAAAAACATCTCCAGGTATTGGCAAATGCTCCCAAGTCCGTAGGGAGGCCAAATCACCCCCAGCTGAGAACCAATGCTATGTCAATGTTATTGCTCTTATTACTGGGCAGAGATAATTCCAGGTTTCCGCTGGATGGCTGTCCGGAGGTGATGAAGTCCCGTGCCCCAAGATCCGCAAACAGGAGAGGGAGACGCATGTTGGACAGTTTAGGCTAAATGGGCTAAGACCACATCCACACCAACATTGTTTTTATGCGAGTTCCGATCCTACTTAAAAATAGTTTGGCTGATTGGAAACAGGAGCACATCCTTTTTACAAAACATTCTTTTAAAAGTAAATACTATCTATGAGAATGTTTTCATGTTATTGTTGCAGCTCAAAATTTTGTTTATAAGAATTTAGAATGATTTATTTTCCATGGAGGCCTGGCAATGAAATCTCATGAAAAACCCCAATCAGAAGTCCCCTTACCTTTTTTTTTTTTTTTTTTTTTTTTTGAGACGGAGTCTTGCTCTGTAGCCCGGGCTGGAGTGCAGTGGCCGGATCTCAGCTCACTGCAAGCTCCGCCTTCCGGGTTTACGCCATTCTCCTGCCTCAGCCTCCGGAGTAGCTGGGACTACAGGCGCCCGCCACCTCGCCCGGCTAGTTTTTTGTATTTTTAGTAGAGACGGGGTTTCACCGTGTTAGCCAGGATGGTCTTGATCTCCTGACCTCGTGATCCACCCGTCTCGGCCTCCCTAAGTGCTGGGATTACAGGCTTGAGCCACCGCGCCCGGCCAGAAGTCCCCTTACCTTAAGACTCCCTGGGTATGGGTGCTGCAGAACCACTAGATTCCCACGCAGTGAGCCTGTTCCACTGACCTCTGTTAGGAGTCTGGGGCCCCCATCAGTGGGGAGAGAGGGGGACCCAAAGCTGGATTTGCCACTTTAGGACCCACCGTTTGTGCTTAAACTGCCTTTGGGGTCTTCTGGTGCCAAATTAGAACAGCCCCAAGGCGCTTCCCCTGAGGGACCATACCTGCCAGCCTCCCCTGCCACCACATCTTCTGCTTCCAGAGGCACATGGCCAGCTGCCTTCCTCTTCTCTCGGCCTTTCCCTGGCCTAGGAGCCGGCAGGGAGGGAGAGCGGAAGTTTAGGTGAATTTCTAGAACCAAGCCCTGGGACCCATTCGCCTTCAGCGCCTCTTTTTCTAGGTCACATTGGAAGGACTGGGGAGCCTTCTGTAGAGGTAGGGCGTATACTCCTTAAGGTCATCTCTCTACCTGGCACAGGGCCCTTGCTTGGGCTATCATAACATCTTCCAGCAAACCTGGGAGAAAGACTGGTGTCTTGTATTGCACCCAGCTTCCTAACAAGGCTGAGAGGAAAAAAAAACTTGATTTTGCAAATTGAGGGTAAAAAAAAAAAAAGAATTTATATTTCCAACACGTCTTTACTCTGATCTCCTATAAAAAGAACCATAGTAAGACGAGTGTGACGCTATTGCCGTTCCCAGTTCCTCAAATACCCTTCGTTCCAAGTTCGTCCTGCCCACAGTGTCTGGCCCTAGCTGGCTCCGGCGGGCTTCAGATGACTCTAGTTAGTAGGAACTGTGTTTGCGTTCTATTTTCTGCTGCTGCCCTGACCTGTCCTGTCCTGTTGATTAATAGACTTTATTAGAACATCCTCATCATATTACATTTTTCATATCTGAGATAAGCTGTAAGAATGGATTCAGGCATGAGATGTTTGATGCTTGGAATTCTTACTGTGGGAACTGAATAGGCGCAGTAACAAAGATAAGGAATTTAACTGAGTGGGTGTGTTCTGAAGTTACTCACAACCTTTCATTCATTCATTTACTGAACAAGCATTGACTGAATGCCCCCTACAAGCCAGGATAGCATTAAAATGGGGCTGTGTTTTGAATGAGAGTCATTTAGGCTAACGTAAAAGAAAACCTCAGCTCCCATAGTTTCCCCAAAGGGCATTAATTTGTGGAATTTTTTTTCTGGAATTTTTAACGAATAAGATGACATCATGGAGCAAGAGAAAATGGGCTATACTTTCTGGTTCTGTCTGAGAGTCATCTTCTTCCTTGCCAGCAGCTTTTCTTCATAGACACAGCCAGCACTCCACTTCCAGGCCGCTACATACGCACGTTTCAGACCTGAAAGTGTTTCTTCCCCCCACACTGTGTGATTTTAGATGGATCATCTGCTCACTATCTCAGCCAACAACACACTTCAAAGCAGAGATGAGAACATTGCAGGGGGTAGAGAGTGGGGAGGCTTCGGCTTCATTAACAGCCAGTGGGAAGTGGAAGAGTGTCCTCCACATTCTCGTCCAGTGAGGTCAGCACCTTTGAGTTGTGTCCAGAATAACCGTATTCTTCTGCTACAAAAGAGAGTCGCCAAATATTTACACTTTTC